CATTCATACCACCAGTCGGATGACAAACCTGGCAGCCCACCTAGCCCTAGTGAGGTAGTACATAGCCCTGCTGGGACACAGCTACCACAGAAGCTGCTGCTACAGCAGGGGCCCAACTGCTACAGTTGTTACTGCCATTCATGGAGGTGAAGGGGATGAAGAGAGTAGTTCTCCTAAACTCCCCCACTCAGGTAGCCTCTGGTGGCAGCTGCCAGCTGATCACTGACAGCCAGGCCCCCCTTTACACATAGGGGAGACGGCAGGCTATCAGTGACTGGAGCCACAGACAGGATTCCCTAGGGGAAGGGGGAGCAAAGGAGTAGCTCCCCTATATACTCCCTGACTGAAAAGCATACCTTGGAGGCAAATCTGTAGTGCTCCGGCCAGTGGGCTGTGCACATGCACACACCCCCAGTGCTACACAGTGCCTTAGCACTCAGTACACATTAACATGCATCCTAGTGCTCAGTTTACAATCCTTCAGCATCAAAACTTACTTTCAAATATGCATTCTCTTTTTGTAGGAACTTGGCTTAAATAGGAAACTGGACACTAACTAAGCAAGCATTTTATTTTAAAAATATAATATTTTCCTCTCGGTATGGTTTACTACCCATCAAGTAAAAAGCAAAAGCAAAACCAACCCTCTCCTCCCCTCCCTGGAAACACAGAGTTTAGTGTATCTATTCAGGAACCTACAAATATTCTAATATAGGTTTCACTTTACCTCATAAATCAGGCCCTCTTGCTCTAAATTTCTTCATATCTTAGAGCTGTCTCACTAATATCATACAGATTAAGACCCATCACCTCTCACGTCTATGGCAATGATTCTCAGCCAAGATGCCACAATACCCTGGGTGCCTTGAGATCCTTATGAAGGTGCCGCAGGGTACCACACAATGTTAGCACTGTTAGGTGTGCAAACACCTACAAATGATTCACAAGATAAGCCACAAGATTTCAAACAGGAATTCATAGTGATAAAAATATACTAACCTATCGTCAGACAAGGTTCCTTGGGTGAATTTGATATCTTTTATTAGACCAATCCAAATAGTTGGAGAATAGTTATTAGGCAAGCTTTCAGGTTCAAAAACCCTTAGTCAGGCTAAGGAAGTTTCAGCAGTTGGTGCGTGCTCTTCCTGCATGGAATGAAAAGTAAAGAAGCCAGCGGCTGGGCTGGGGAGTCAGTTGCCAGGCAGATTGTAATGTATCAAAAATCCAATGTCTATGTTTAGTCCCTGATCTCTAGTATCCAGCAGGTTGATGAAATGGAGCTCATAGGCTCGTCTCTGGGAAGTGTTGCGTAAGTTTCCCTTGAGGATCAGGACTGAGAGATTGGAGAGAGAGTGGCCCTCCTGTGAGAAATGTGCCCCCACCGGTAATTGGGTGTTTCTGTCTTTGATAGATTTCCGGTGTGCATTCATTCTGGTGCGCAGTTGTTGTTTGGTCTCTCCTACATATCTTCCATCAGGGCATTTGAGAATGAACGCACACCGGAAATCTATCAAAGACAGAAATACCCAATTACCGGTAGGGGCACATTTCTCACAGGAGGGCCACTCTCCCTCCAATCTCGCAGTCCTGATCCTCAAGGGAAACTTACGCAACACTTCCCAGAGACGAGCCTATGAGCTCCATTTCATCAACCTCCTGGAAACTAGAGATCAGGGACTAAACATAGACATTGGATTTTTGATACATTATAATCTGCCTGGCAACTGACTCCCCAGCCCAGCCCAGCCCCTGGCTTCTTTACTTTTCATTCCATCCAGGAAGAGCACACACCAACTGCTGAAACTTCCTTAGCCTGACGAAGGGTTTTTGAACCCAAAAGCTTGCCTAATAACTATTCTCCAACTATTTGGGTTGGTCTAATAAAAGATATCAAATTCACCCAAGGAACCTTGTCTGCCTATGTCCTTAGACCAACACGGCTACAACCTAACCTGTTGTGGCCTGTCTGAGTTCTATGCAACAGAAGAATTGCTCTATTATTTTTCTGTAGCAAAAAATAAGTGAAAATTAAGAACTGGCATTTTTGAGGCATGCCTAGAGCCTAAAAAGGTTAAGAACCACTGGTCTATGGTCTGATACTATTAAACCTAGAGTGTAAATAATGTCAATGCATTTGCTGCAAACTCTGGCTGCCTCTACACATTCAGGTCAAGGTACAATGGGATCTAATGCACAGTCCACACAATCGCACCTCCTGCCATTCCACACAAGGGCTCGGAAGGTTCACACATCTCTGAGCCCTGGGGACCATGGCTGCTGCAATCTCTCAGGCCTGGAGGTTTCACACTGGACATGATACACCCTGTGACTGGGAGCCCTGTTAGCTGATGGGGCTCCCAACGACAGGGGAGACCCTGCTACATGTGCAAATTTATAGCTAGTTGCTACCGAGCTTTAAGTTAGCACATATTTTTCAAGTCTAACTTTATAGCTGGTTAGAGCCTTTTATTGTGTGACAGTAGCTGATCACCAAGTAATTGGTGCCATTAAGCAATTAATTGTGCAACACCTGTACCATGAAGAAGGGCCTCATAATCAAGTATTCTGTTTCCCCCCCCTCAATTACTGCTCCCTATTCTATATTTTATATTTCTTCACATGTATTTGCATTTTTTTCAACAAAAAATCTTAGATTTTTATATGTATTTTGCTTATTTCTGTGAACTGTCCCTGCTTTCTTATTGAAGTTTGCGACACCTCTGAATTTAGTATAACTTCAATAATTCAGTTAATTTGTTTACTGCTTTTTCCAAACAGATGATAAAGATACTGGAGGGAAAACATTACTTTACCCTTAATTCCTTTTATTCATTGAAGTTTCTGGTTCTTCAGCCACTTTTCAATTTATTTAATATCTTTCTTTTTTCCTTTATGAAGAGTCAAGGTCATACATGTATACATACAGATAAAAGCAAACAATCCTACTTGCTTATTATCCATTTTAACATTTACAGTATTTTGATAATTCTCCATTTAATCATGTTAGAAATAGTCCAGTAATTCATAAGTTTGAGTAATTAATTTTCTTCTGATTTATTCCATTACTGGCCTACTTTTTAAGTATAGATTTTTTAATACTTCTGAGAGACCATCACCATCTTTATATCTTTGATTAGCCATTCATTTTGCTTTTTACTAACCTCTAAATCTCTTCGAAAGTCTTAACAGACAATATGTATTATTTCTTTGTATCCTTTGCCCTTTTCCACCTGTCAGTACTATTTTTTTTTTAAACTCCTGGGCATTTGTTTTGCTAGTAATGCTAAACTGCTGCATCTTAACATTCTCTAGTTCTCTACTATCCACGGTCAATTCTGCCAGAACAAGAAGAAAAAAGCTGATTTACAATGGCATCTATATTTTCCTGATCATGAAGCTGTCTATTGTGAAACCTAGAAACCATTCTGATGTTTAGCTGTATGTATTGCTCAAATGTCTGGATAATTAAAATTCCCTGTGAATACAATATGATATGGTTTACAGCTCCCTATCTTTGTCGAGAATGCTTTTTATTCATATTCTCTGTTTGCTGTGGTCATGTAGCACACGTTCATTACTTCCTCTCTCTTTAAATTAATTTTCCTTTAATTCTATTGTTCTTCAGAATATTCTGCCACTCATTACATTAAGAAGTGCAACCTTCTGGGAGTAAGTATGATTAGAACCACTAATAGGAAAATCAAGAGATTTGTTTTTTATTCCAAGTTGACAGTGACATGCTATGTCACCTATGTAAGTTCCCTTATTTTCTCTACGCTACAGATGTCTTAATATACAATGAAAAAAAGTGCTTCCCTATCTCAGAGGAATTTTATGAGACCCAAGTAACTCGGATCTGTAAACTATTCTGAGGGTCCTTCATGCATGGTGACGAGCAAAAATTGTTCCCTAGTTTGTCCCTCTACCATTTATCTGTTTCTTCATGCATTTGCATGTATATATTCATTTATTAATGTAACTATTCTGAGTGTGAAACCCATCCCAAGTTTTCCCACATGTTCACTAGGTAACATGATCACTATTTAGTATCCTGTCAAGTTTTTTCCCCCACAGTTCTTACACTTTTTTAAATTATTCCCTTTCTATTGCTTCACTTCTCCATCTTCCTCCTAGTATCCATATTTTAAACACATTCCATGTTAGAAGACAACAAATTCCCATATTCCCACTTTACGGCATAAATGCTTGCTAACTTTAAAAGAGAGTTGTACACATTTCGCCTAACTGGAAAAAGTATGCATCAGCAAACTCATTCCTGGTGACATCTAATTTTCTTTGAATTCAAAACCTTCTTCTCTAATCTCATTAGAACCTGTCTTAAACATAACTATTTATGTACTTTCTTCTACCTAGCTCAAACCTTTAAATGATACCCCAACACATAATTATGGACTCCTTCAGTCTTCATGTATAAAAATAAATTAAAATCTTTTCTTGAAGTGTTCAACCTAACACTCATACTCTAGCACAGAAAACTTGTACATGCTTACAATAAGGCTCCAGTCACAGCTTTCAATTATAAGCTTTTGAAGTCAGGACATTTTGTATGAAAAACTTCTTCATAGAACTAGTCATATCACCACTCATTAATAATGAATGATGTAATTTTCATTTTAGATTATGTTACATCCTAATTTCAAAGTATTAAAACAACTATAATAAAATGTAAAATTATTAAGTCTCCGCACTTTGAACAAGGAGGGTCTAAAAATTTCTATCAGGTCTCACACTGCTAAAAATAATACAGGTCTTTGTTGCATGAAAATTATACCATGGAAAAAAAAGTCTTTTGCATGAGGGCCACATCTTATGCTACACCAAACACTAAAATTAGTGCAGAACATGCCTGCTTATTAAATGGCATATCTTAGCAAGAACACAATACCAGTGCTCTGTGCATTGCACTAGGTGTCTCCAGTTTTCCAGTTAGATTCTATATTCATTTAAACCTAGAAAATCCTAAATGGTTTGAAACTTACCTACTTAAAGTATTTCCTCTCTCCAAGTGACATATCTCCACAGTTGTAATCGGTGAAGATGCTCAAACAGGAGCTCCCTCAGCATTAAAGATCTGGCAAGCAACTCTCCATAAGGAAATTTTTGTATTAGAATTTGTTCTTTCCACGTCTGAAATAGTCCAAAATTAAGTGACATTAACTAATCATGGCATTTTTTTTCTTTTTTTCTTTTTTTTCTTTTTTTCTTTTTTTTTTTTTACTAGAAGGATAATGGCTAGATAATAGTTGCTAGTTTCTATATTAGGTTATGCTTTTAAGAAATTTTTAAAAATGCCCAGAGCTTGAATTTGAGACAGCTGTTTGTTAAGAAAGATCTAGACCCTTTTTACAAATATAAATCTAAACATATATATTAAATTACTTCAACATTTTCAAAATTATCGGTGTTGAAGACTTCCATAATTTAGTATTTTGTTGCATGAAAATACTTTCATTTTCCAGAAAAACAACACTCACCCTCAAAAACAGTATTATAAATTACACGTTTGCTTAAACACAACTTCATTAACACAAATAATACTTTTTTGTGATGGAAGTTTGAAATTAACGTTTGAACGCTTGAAATTAAGAATGAACATTTCTCCTTGGACTACCCACAGATAAAACATGAAGGCTCAAGATTTAAAAAAAATCTGCAATATACCCTCCAAAAGAAAGATGTGCCGACAACCTGCTGATCTGACGCAACATTTTGTAGAACAAGAATTTTAAGTGATATATGCACAAAGCATATGTAAAAAAGGAATATATTAGTAGAAAGCGTCTTCCAAAAAGAGGTTTAGAGGCGGTAAGCTGCTACACATACCATGGAACAAAAAGTCAAAAAGTTAACACCACATATTTTCCATTTCTCTACAGTTAGATATTCTTGCTTTCATTAACCTTTTTATAAAACTACTAAAGCTAGTTAACTGGCTTCCTGCCAAAGTTACTTGGTAAGGAAACAGTCACTTATCTGTGGACTAGGTGATTGACACAGCTATCATGACAGCCAAGGACCCAAATGATTTCACAGTAGTGGCTCTCCTTTTCCATCAAACCCTCTGCCCCCAAGGCTAGGTACAGACAGTCAAAAAGCCTGAGGCTCAATTTAGTCAGTTTTTGCAGGTTAGTCTAAACTGCAGGGATTGAACCAATAAGCAAACGAGCAGACAATCACTTTTCATTGAAGAAATACAGCCACATGCCTGCAGTGGCTCAAGCCAGAAGCCAGGGAGGGGCGCTAGAGCACAGCTGCCAGCCACTGCTAAAGGGGAGGGGAGAGAGAAAGCCCTGCTGGAACAGAGGGGGCATGGCCAGACCCCAGCCCTACTCTGCCTGGGCAGGGGGGTGGGGGGAAAAAGTTTCATAGTTGTTAGGGGCTGGAAGGGACCTTACAGATCATCAGGTCCACAGCCCCTGCACTTGACAGGAAAGACTGCTGGGGTCACATGACCCCAGCAAGTTGGGTGTCAAGGTAGTGGCACTGAATTCATAAAAGCCTTAACAAAAATAGTTCTCTCTGAAAAACTATAAACTGAAATACAACCTGGGCTGTGTATTCGCTTACTCTTCCTGCTGCCCCCAAGGTCTCTGGGATTTGCAGTCACAGCTGCAGGACGGGGACCCTCAGGGTTGCTTGTCACTTCCTCTTCCCACTTCCAGGTGCCTGTGGGAATTGTAGTCCACGGTTGCAGCTGGCACTAAGTTTTAGCACGGCAGCTCTGTACTCGGGGGAAGGTGAGTTTGACCCGCCACCTCAGCCCCCAACCACAGCTGGGATTTGCTTGGGGGGGGGGGGGGGGGGGGGCGGGGGGGAGCCATCACTGCTCTGGCAAGGGAGCAGAGGGGCGGGGCCAGCCCTGTCCTCTGGAGCAGACAGTCCAGCCCAGGGATGCTGGGGGGGACTCTGATTTAACTTGAACCAGGAAGGGGTCTGAAACAGAAGTTTCATATACCGGTTTGACCGGTACTTAACTTAAATCAGTTAAGTCTGATACTATATTCAACCAGGTTTATTTTACACCAGTTTCAGCCATTTTGAAACTGGTTTATATGCAGTGAATGTCTGTTCTGTTACAGGTTTAAACCGGTTTCTGATCCCTTACAGCGGTTTGTGTGCAACTTCTGTCCCAAGCCCAAAGGGTACATTTAAGTACTATAATTGATAGCTTTGCCAGTACACGTAGCTTTTTCTCCTCAGTCAATTCATGTAAAAGAATAAAGTCACAGGCTGGGTTGTAGAAGTGGAGCTCCAAGAAAACTACTAAAATCAAGGTGCAAGAGACGAGATATAGATATAGACTTGGGAAAATAAAGGGAAATCTGCAAGAGGATAAAAACAGGCTAATCCGTTTGACTACAGCTAAAAGTATGCACCTTGCTCTTTTTAGCCTTAAACTCTTTTCAAGTCCCCTTACATTAGTACAGTGGTTCTCAACCTATTTGCCACAGTGGGCCACATTTGCAGCTCTCAATGTGTTATGTGGGCCACGCCCCACAGCTTAGGGGCCCCAACTGCCAGAGCTATGGGACCAGGGCCAGGGCCTGCAGCCTCCCACCCCTCCCAGCAGTGCCCGAGCCCCAGCTGCCACATGCGGGAGATGGCAGTTGCTATGGCCAGAGTGGAGTGCGGAGCCCAGGTCCCCCCTCCCAGCTGGTGGCAGGTGGCACGGTTGGAGCAGGGCCCATGGGAGGAGGGCAGATGCAGGCTTCCTGCTGTGGGCTTGGGGCTCCCTGCCCTACTGCCCTCTCCCCAGGGCCTCTGCAGCCCAGCACATGGGATCCAGCACCATCAGGAGGAGAGGCTTGGTGTCACGCCAGAAGCCCCACACTGGCCGCACCACCATGGCGAAGCACCCCTGCCCACCTGGTGGCAGCAGCAGAATGGAGTTGTGCCCCCCACTGCTGCTAGGTGGGCAGGGGGCACCTCACCATGGTGGTGCAGCTGGCAGCAGCACCAAGCCTCCCTCCCCTGATCTGCTGCAGGGGCCCTTGGGGGGGGGGGCAGCAGGGTGGGGAGCCCCAAGCCCATAGCAGGCAGCCTGCATCTGCCCCCACCCCTCATATATATCTGGGGGGCACATGTCCCCACATGCCTCCTTCTCCAGGAGTATGTGCAGTGGTGGGCAGCTGGCCCCCTCGCTGCTCTGTGGATGAGCTTCCTGTGGCTCCATCCTGCTTCCTGGCTGGGCCCTGCAGCCGTGCATTCCCACCCCAGCCCCAGGCTCCACATGTGGCCGAGCTGCACAGTGCCCCCAGTCCCAGCCCTGCCATGGCCTGCCTTACTCTATTCCCTCCCTCCCTGTGGGGGCCTCATTTTGCCCTCCCCCTGCATAGACGTACCTGGAGGGACCTGCTCTCCACACATGCACACTGTGGCCCCTGCCCCCAATTTCCCTCCTCCTGCTCCCCTACCCCCCAGTCCCAAGCAGCCCCTTGCAAGCTGGATTCTGCCAGCCTGCAAAGGGAAACCTGTTTTGCACATTTTTCTCCCTGACTCTAACAAACCAGCAATCTTTACTTTTTTTCTTAACAGGATGTCACATGGGCCACAGCAGTGTGTTGACTGGACCACGAGTTGAGAACCACTGTATTAGTACATCTACTAGATACAAAATTTCACAGTCTGAATGCTCTTTCAAAATGTCAAAGTAAATCAAAATGAAGGCCCCCTCAAGTCTGACTTCTATATTCTACATACTCTTTTTAAAACAATCCAATAGACCTTTTACGTCTGTATCTATAGAACATGGCCTGTTTCAGTAACTTCAGGAACTCCATCACACCAGCCACCAGTGTCACTCATGCACAGTGCCTGTATTCCCATAACATCATGGCTCCATTCCTCAACATAAATCAAAATCTGGCCCTAAAATGTGTTCTGGTTTACTAACACTTTCTATTTTCCTCAAAAAAATAATCTGTAGATTTTTGTAAACTCGTGCACTTCTTTTACAAACAGAAGCGCTCCCCAGATTTTGTGTGTAACAAAAAAATAGAGAAAGAAGAGATCCACAATATTTTTGTCTATTCTTAATTTCTTGGTGATTTTTTTTAAATCTTGAGGACAAGAATTCTTAGACAGTAAAACTTTGGGGTTAAATAAAGGCTATTACTTGGCACTTGGACAAAATCTTCCCTCCAAGTAGCTGAAAATTAAAAGATTGTTATTTATGGTCTTAAAAGACCATAGAATTAACCACTAATCATTTCCATTGGTTCAATAAGCCAATTTCAGTTGTATATCGCTTAACTTCAAGCGTTAAAACTTTATTTCATACTATAAATCTTCCTTATAACATTTTGTGGTCTGCTGTATAATCTAACATTCTTTTTCCTGTGATTTCCCAATTTCTTTCTTTGACAAAAATATTCCATGTCTCCTTGGAAACCAAAATAAAATATATATTGCAAACTTCTGACTATAGTGTTTTCCATTTGGACTAGAAAAATAACCTCTGCTCCCCTGCTGTGTGAATTGTGGTTTAATACTTTATTTCTCTTCTCTAACTTGTCCTGTGATTGCTATTAATTCCTCTTCATCTCCATTTTAAAAATGCATCCACTTCCATCCGTTCATTCACCTATTCACTTATACTGTACACCTTGATTAATTTTCCAAGCACCTGCTAGGGAAAAATAGGATGTGAAATATGGAAGTCATCACTGTCCAAGGCAATAGCTAGGCAAGAAACAGCCCTTCATGCCCAAGCCTCTGACAAAGGAGAGCACAGCATGATGCTTACAAGGGCACCTGCATATTTTCCATGGTACTTATCATTTTGGAAAATGCTTAGAAAAATAAGGCCATGATCTAAAATTAGACGTACTATACTAAAGTCTAGGGACACTAAGACTACTGCAACTACTACTACAATTACCGTTTGCTCCCTGACTATTAAGCAGCCAATGATTCTGAAGTGTCCTTCAAATCCCATTCCAGCTGCAGTAAACAAGAAAGAGCAGTTTCTCTTTGTGTATTCCACCTTCTAGTCAAAGACTTTCTGGACAATGAAAGAGGATTTTCCTCTTTATTAGCTGAACCTCTCTTGGTCTTCCCTCCCATTAAGTAGTGCCTGCCTGCCTTTGTTACTGTTGTCTATTCCAAACAGTAGCACAAAAACTAAA